TTTAAATGTTTTTTTTTAAATGTTTTTTTTTCATGAAATCATGAGTTTTTTGAGAATCATTTGTACTAAAGTTGTGGTATTTTCTAGAATCCATCAAGATCTCTTAAACCAAGTTAATTCTAGATTGAATACGATTATTTTTAATTTTGGTGGATATGGCACTCAAAGTATTTGATTTAAATGAAAAAAAAAAACATTGCATGCGTCCTTTATCTGCATGATAGCTCACTCATTTTACACGCAGAAGTACTCATTTTAAAGCTTATTTTGAGCACTATAAAAACCCATTTTTATATCTAGCCTAATAATGTTCCTAAAACACTATAAAATAACGATTTATTAAGATTTTAATTGATATAATTCTGTTCATTACATGATTTTCGTTAAAATGTATATTTTTGAAGGTGTTAGCAAAAAATGATGAAAAACGCAAAAAAAAAACAAATATTCAGTAGCCAGTAACTTGAAAAGTATTTCGTTTTTTGAAAAACATTATTAAATATTTTTCTCGTATAATTAGTTTTTTTATCGATACCCAACGTTATTTTGAAAAAAGTAAAATTACACCACTGAAAAGAAATGTCATCCACCCGAGAAGTGGTAAAGGAGTCTAAATTGTTTTCACTTCTGAAGAATAAGATGAACCTAGTTTCAAAATTCCAAACGAATTGGAAAATAGTAAAAATTTCAGACCCCAAGCGCTCCATTGAGTAAATATTCCGTACCCAATGACAAACATATGAATTTTTGACACAATGAAACTTCTAAATAATTTTTTTTGTATTGTGATTTAGTATAGTAAGGCAAAACGACTGCAAATTGAATATGTTTGAGCGCAATCACTTATGGCTCGCTCCTTTGCGCGAATTCGTACGGCGAATCTGTTCGCAAAGTGCGCAAACAAAATTATTGCAAGCAAAAGCAAACCACGCGCACGTCAGACGCATGCGCAGACTGCATCACTTGTCAAATGCATGTTAAATTATTTGCATCTTATATTAATTTAATTTTTGGCACATCTCAGCTGCTTTTCGGCATTAATAATGTAGACATTAAATTTTTCTTATTCATAATTATGAATTTATTATATTCTAATATCGCCTTAGCCTATAAGTGAATAGAAATGTTTGGCAAATGACAGTCCTCAATTGTTTTTAATGTCAAACTAAGTTTCAAATATTTTCAAGGGCAAACAATGATAAGCGGTTTTTTATAATTTTTTCTATTTATTTCTACAATCTAACTATATTTCTATGAATCAAAACATTCTAAAAAATTTCCCGAACAAACTTCAGGAAGATTCATGAAAATCCGAATTATAGTTTAGGAGGAAATATGAAACTTACATTGTTACAGAAGAATTTTATATATAAGATATATATATATATACAAAAGATAATTTAACCTGCATACAGATATTAGAAAAAAATTAACTTATATTTCTTAGAACTCGAATCCTGTTGGACAAGTTAACTCTTGTTAATCATAATTTAATTTTTTAATTTAAATATTTCACTAGTATGATCATTTTTTAAAATATTTTTAACATTGACTGTGTTTTTGTATTTTTTATATAATTTGCGTGTTTTATCCACTGGCGAAGGTTTTTTTGTAAGAAATATTTAGTTTTTTTCCTTATTACCTGGATGGATGCCTGTTAAAACGCTTTTTATCTATATATCGTTCACCATCTGAAAAATTATTACACACACACTCAGTGCTGGATTTACAGTAGGGGCAATCGGGGCTACTGCCCAGGGCGGCAAATTTTGGGGGGCGGCAAAATTTGGATAGTGAGAAAAAAAATCTATACAATATAATCAACTTTTTTTAACAACATTTTTTATTTCAAGAAATACAATTAACAAAACATAATACGAATGCAATGCCAATTTTGGGTTGAAATAAACGATAACTAAAATTTATTATTTTGCTTTGCCTCCTTCTCCGAACGTAAATTATCACACTGGTTAATAAGTTATCAAATTTGGCAATTTGGCTAATATAAAGATCCGTAAACAAGCTGAAAGTTTAAGAAAAATATGTTCTTCAGTTCTCGAGCCCTCTTAAAATGACGTATTTGTGCACTTCCAAGCTTATAGCGTCGAAAAAAAATTTAAACCAGTGACTCATGGCTTTGTGCCTTAAGACAAATTACTGAAACATCCCCTACTGAAAATTGCATTTTATAAAGAGCTTTCAATTTTATAGAAAAATGAAAAAAAAAGACATAAAACACATTTTTTGTATTTTCAAATTTTTCGAAAATTATGAACTTTTTGCAAAAAAGAGAAAAAATATCGAAACTCAATTACGATTTTTCGTAATTGCCTGTACCAAAAGCTAATCAGCACGTCTGCTCATCAATACAAATCTAATGTTTTTTAATTATTCAAGTCGATTTCGAGAGCACGGATCAACCGATTTATGATTCAATTCCTATTGATAAGGAGACGTGCTGATTAGTTATTGGTTAAGGCAGGTCCAACTGAAAATGATAATTTAGTTTTTGAGAAAAAAGCGTCCAATAACATTCAAAAAAAAAATTGCAGAATAAATAACTGCTTAAATCTGTGGGGGGCAGGTTTAGCGGTTTCGATGATCCAATAAAAAAATTTGAAAAAGAAACATTTGGCGGACAAAAGTGATCATAAGACATATGCACATTAAATTATCAGATATTTTAAAGATATTATAATAATAAGTATAAATTTTGTTTGCATTTATATAAGTTCTGTAACATTGTTTATCCGTTAGACTGCGACGCGGCGCTTACGCGCTTCTATATCTTGTACCTCGCAGCTGAAGCAGGGCGATTGCTTTAAAAAAAAGTTCGAAAGTTCGTAAAATTTCAGGGATGGGGCGGCATTTTGTCAGTGCCCCGGGGCGCCAAATTTCTAAATCCGGCCCTGCACACACTCATATATATATATATATATATATATATACATATATATATATATATATATATAAATTGAAATGCTTTTTAACTCTTGGATGTTATTAAAATTATTATTTTTTGGCTCGAGTCATTCTTTATTCAGTGACTAAAATTAATTCAATTTAATATTGTTAAAAATATAATAGGGTTACTTATGTAAATGTATTTGACTTGATTATACTTTTTTTAAATAAATTGCATGAAAATATCTAAAATATATTCGATATATGTACCATATTTACACTTTTAATTCTTCTCATTTTTTATTAGCATTCTAGAAAATAATTTCTGTTAACATGCACACTGTTTTTAGAAAACTTCTTTAACTTTTCAACTTTATTTTTAATTGTAATTCATTTCAATATATATGTATATGTTTATATATATATATATATATATATATATATATAAACGCCATTCTTTTAATTTCGCTCGTTATAAACGGAAACTTTGAAGTCTTGCAAACTTTCTCAGAGATCATTTAGTTTCTACTCGCATAGCAACAGGATCTTATATATTCTCTGTTTCAATTTATATGTACATATATATATATATATCTATATATATATATATATATATATATATATATATATATATATATATATGCGCTTCCGATAGCCATCATCATGGTGGTCTCGGGAATACATCTCCTGCGCACAATTCGTGCGAGGCTGACTTGCATAATTTGTGCGGGGATGAGCCAAGAAACCGAGGCTTCGTTAATGCGTAATTGTATCAATGTTAAAATAAGCAATGAAATAGCAATCCTTAATTACAAAATTATTCGATTCAATTTCGTAGAATATTGTTGCAGAATGAATCGACAAATGTACAAGATCGCTCCACCGTATTCTTATCTAGCAAGCTGCAGATCGAAAATAGGTTACATCGAGTCGATATTATGCAATTGATTCTTTATTTACAATAATTTATTCAAACTAGAAAGTAATTTTGTTTAGGAATTTAAACATGTAATGGTTGGATTACTAGTAATACAATCATTTTATTGGTGTATACAGGACACCAATAAACAATTTTTTGTCGGTATACTAATTTAAAGTTATACTTAGTAGATGTGTTGTTTTGCATTGTTTGTTAAATTGTTTGTTACAAGTATTAAAATGATACCAGTCAGCACACTTTTATAAAGTCTTGGTAAAGACTAGGGCTATCGAGCATTATATTTAATTACATTAACGATTTCAATTTACGATCACTTGAAAATGACTAAATCATACTTGCTCTGCATAGTATTTATATTAAATCAGAAGTTAGAAATATCTTGTTCCTTTATTTTTACTTGTTTATTGTTTATTGTTTTCTACTTGTACGTTTTTGCAATAGATTTCAAACAAATTACATCAATTTATTTTATTCGTCGAATTCAGTGAAATTCTTTAATATATCTTTTTATCCTAAAATGGTCATAAATAGTACATTGAATTTGACTCAACATCGATCGAATCAGCCTTATGAATAAATGTATTTGTAGACCAGGCGCTGCGTGCGAATCCATTTACAAATTTGTTCTAGCGGATATTCATAGCGGATTCTGGATAAATGGATGTGTGTTTAGCAACCTTTTGTTTTGAGAAAATTGATGCTATTTGGAGTAAAATGCTTCAAAAAATAATACTGAAAAAGTTCTTGCTGTCTTGAGAGAAATAATTCGTAATTCGGTCCCACCTTGACAGCTTTACCAGGCTTTTTAAAATATTGAATAGCTTTGACATCAAAATGGGTTAAAAATTTATAAATTGTTCTTTAGCGCTCAAAAAGTGTTTAATACTTATTGTTAGCACTTAGAAGGTACTAATGAAAGTTGATTCATCTTGATTTATACGAGAACAAACTAAAAAAATAATACTAGCATCAAAATGCTAGCTAGCACTGGTTTGCAATGTAACATTTTAGTCAGCATGTCAAAATCCACGAATAAGAATGATTTTTTTTAATTTAATTGTTTATTTAACTGGCTGATTTTGATTGGAGAATGAAAATACTTCAAGAGTAATGTTAATGAATATATCATTGTTTATAATTATTTATTTTTAGAAAAATGATAGGATCAGGAAAACCCTTATTGGGCCTATGGTTATATCGCTCCGGAAATCAATGGTCCGTCAAGCACGATTTGCCTTTACCCGCATCATACAAACCGGTGCAAAATGCGGGTATAAAACCGGATACTTCTTCATCTATTGAATTGAACGACACAAATGAAACTGCTGTCAGATCCTTGATTTTCACCCTGAATAATCAGATTGGAGGATTGGCCAAATGTTTGAGAGTATTCCAGGAACTAAAGATAAATGTCTTGCATATAGAATCGAGAAAGAAGCTGAATGAGCCTCAACAAGTAAATATATTTCCAGACAGAAAATTTTGTTCAAGGCAATATTTAAATAAGTAGATAGTATCTTATTATATCAACATTTTTTTTCAGGCAGATATATTAGTGGATGTAGAATGTGACAAGGAAACATTGGAGGAGCTATTGCAGTTACTAAAACATGAAGTCCGAGTTGTAGATGTTTCACATAAAGTAATATCAACTATAACACAGAACGTGGAACGAGAACCTTTATCATCAATTTCTTCTATGCCTAGTTTTGGTAAGCATAGTTTTTAATATTTTTTTTGTTTATTATTAGATATTTTAAACTTAATCATTTACATCAATTTGTTTTATTATTTGTTATTATTTCAGATTTTGAAGATATGGTTTGGTTTCCCCGTAAAATCTCAGATCTGGATTTAGCCCAAAATGTTCTCATGTATGGCGATGAATTAGATGCCGATCATCCAGGATTCAAAGATCCCGTATATCGCAAACGCCGGCAAGAATTTGCCAAAATTGCTAATGAGTACAAATAGTAAGTGATGAAAGTGAATATTTTGTTTGATTTTTATCGTTTACTAATCGCTAACAAATTACTAATTTGTTTTATCAGCGGTCAGCCAATTCCTCGCATACAATACACAGAAGAAGAAATAAGGACTTGGTATGTCTATTAGTTACATTGTTCGGTAATAATTAGATTATTAAAAATATCATATATATATATATATATATATATATAGAATTTTTTGTGATATGAGTGGAACGAATATTAAATGTTAAATATGAACAATACAGCACTCAGTAGTATATAAGTAACTGTTTTTGAAATTACACTGAAGATGAGCATACCATGGTCTCGAAACGTCTGTAATTATTAAATAAAGTGTGTGTTAAAAATCTGAGTGTTGTATTGTTGATATTTAACATTTAATATATGTATATATACATAATCAAAAAATTTATTCAAAAATTACTTTTATAGGGGCACTGTATTCAGAGAACTTCATAAATTGTATATAAATTACGCCTGCGCTGAGTACTTGGAAAATTGGCCACAATTAGTAAAATATTGTGGTTACAGAGAGAATAATTTACCTCAGGTAAATATGTAAATTTTAAAACAAATGAAATTTTATATTATATATTATATAAAGATCATCCGCTTATTTTCGGAATCTCAGCTGCATGAAAGGTGAAAATAATAAATTCGGTGGCTATGAAGAAGATTTATTATTGACCCAAGTATTTTTATATGATTTGAAATTAACTTGACATTTTTTTCATAATATAAATAAAAAATATAATAATGTATGTAGGTTTAATTTATAATTTTGTACATCATTGTACATACTTGATGGTTTAAATGTAATTCTAATTGCATCACCCGACTGATTTAAATTCAGTATTGAATTTCTTTTTACACATTATCAATATCTAAAAACATCATCATCATTATTCAGTCGTTTATATTAAGTATTTACTATAAACTGCATAGCAAATAATTTAAATGCAATTTCGTTTTATTAGTTGGAAGACGTTAGTACATTTTTGAAGTACAAGACTGGCTTTCAATTACGGCCTGTTGCGGGTTATTTATCTCCGAGAGATTTCTTGTCTGGATTGGCTTTTAGAGTATTTCATTGTACACAGTATATAAGGCATTCAAGTGATCCATTTTATACCCCAGAACCGTAAGTACATAAATAAGTTTTTAATTCCTTTTGGTTCGTAAAAATATTTTTAAATTGATATTAAAACATAAATAAATAAATTATTATATGTAAACAAAATATAATTTATAATTTATTTATATATATATACACATATATATATATATATATATATATATATGTATATATATACACACATTCTAATATGATATTTTAGTACTCATTGATTTGAATTTTAAATAATGAATAAATTAAAAAAATATATATAACTTGAAAAAAGTAATGAAATTACATTACTACTATCTATATATTATATACAGGGTGACTCAGGATTTGACGTCCTACCAAAACGGTGTGATGGTATTGATTTGAACTGTCCTGAAATCATTTAGAAAAAAATAATGAAATTTAGAAATTATGAGTTTTTAAGTGCAATCTAGAGCTTTGGCCTATGACCTTTGACCATTTTTCGGTTATTGTGGGTAATTTTTATTCATTTTGTTCATTTAGTTTGTAATCATGAATAACATTTGAAGGGTCACAGGAAAAATAATAGCATTGCCCCAAGTTTTCAAGAATTAAGACTTTTTGTTAAACTTGAATTTTTTTGAACATTTGAGCTGAATGTGTGCAAAATGCGTTAGCCGTTATATTGTTATTTTTAAGGTTTCTATTTATTCATTCGAAATTTGTCAATTATAAAATTATCAAGTATTTTGCCATTTTATAATGCTAGTACAATGCGCAACTTGATTAAATGAAACTTGCCAGCACGCTTTAGTAAATTTTGCGGCCTCTCAAACTCGACGTTACACTTAAAAGCTCTTAATTTCCAAACGTGAGACTTTTTGTTTAATTTTTTTCAGGATGGTTAATGTCGATACTATCACCCCTGTGTACATTAATAGATCTTATCAAAATTATGAATATGTTTTAGGGATTGTTGTCATGAGTTGCTGGGTCATATGCCCCTACTGGCTAATTCTAGTTTTGCGCAATTTTCTCAAGAAATAGGATTGGCTTCATTGGGTGCGTCTGATGACGATATAAAAAAGCTAGCTACGGTAATTATATTCAGTTTCTTTATATTTAACAGGTTTTATATAATTTTGTTATATAAACTAATTGGGTTGAATATTTGTTGTATCTATTTAATTTCAGCTGTACTTCTTCACCGTGGAGTTCGGATTATGCCAGCAGGCTGATAATTCTTTCAAAGTCTACGGCGCCGGTCTGTTGTCATCCGTGGCCGAGCTGAAGCACGCGCTGCAGGCTAAAGAGAAAATAAAACGATTCGATCCGCAGGTTACATGCGAAGAAGAGTGCGTTATAACAGCCTATCAGAACGCCTATTACTACACAAAATCGTTCGAAGAAGCCAAAGAAAAAATGAGGTAAATGATAATGATAAACATAGTATAAACTGACGTCTCATAGTATAACGATAAATAAAAGTTATAATTTCTTTAACACTAAACCTACCAATATCCTACCGATTGCGGTCAAATGACCGCTTTTCAAATTTTCATTGATAGTTGATTATTAAAAAAGGTTTATTGTTTATTTATAAAAAGAAAATAATATTTTTAAATACTATTTCATTTTATTATAATGGTTGTATATACTGCTGTAAACAATATGAAACAAAGAAACTTTAACTTCAGTCATTTACATCCTTATTCGTTACATTTTAACTTCCCGAAGGAAAAGTTTGTTTTTATCAAAAAATCCGATTCGCTAATTTGACTAGGTCAATATCGGCCAATATCGGTCAATATCGGTCAATATCGGCCAATATCGGTAAATATCGGTCAATATTGGTCAAAATCGGCCAATATTGGTCAATTTGGGCCAATATTGGTCAATATCGGTCAATATTGGCCAATATGTGCCTATATCGGTCAATATCGGCCAATATCGGTAAATATCGGTCAATGTTGGTCAATATCAATCAAAATCGGCCAATATTGGTAAATATTGGTCAATATCGGTCAATATTGGCCAATATTGGTCAACATTGGCCAATATCGGTCAACATTGGCCAATATCGGTCAACATTGGCCTATATCGGCCAATACAGGTCAGTATTGGTCAATATCGGCCAATACAGGCCAATATCGATCAATATTGGTCAATATTGGTCAAAATCGGTCAATATTGGCCAATATCGTTCAATATCGGTCAGATGAACTTGAAACGTATATAAATATGCAGAAAATTATTTTGGATTCTTTTGCGATTACTATAACTGACCCTACGAGAAATTGAAAATTATATCTAAATAGTTTAGAATAAACTATTTAATTAAAAAAGTAAAATTTTGTCTATTAAAAAGGGCGCCTGATTATAGATAGGGCCTAGGAAGTAAGCTTAATCCGCCACTGATTGTAATGAAATATTCGAGAAATATTAAATGTTTTCAAATAGATTATTATAAATACTGCAACTTATATATGTTTCCCTAAAGCAATTGCTTTGTCAACACAAGCAGAAAGTTTTTGGAATCGTTCAAATCGGGTGTTTAGTTCTCTCAAAAACTGTTATATTTCGCACATTTAGTTTGGTATCTCCAAAACGGCTGAACCAGCCTTTGCAAAAAACTAACCACCACTTCTCCCCGTCATTACGAATTGAATGTTTTTGGAATCATTCAAATCGGATACTTCGTTTTCTCAAAAACTCGATTTCTATTTTCTGCACTCTTTGCTCCATGTCTCCGAAACGGCTGGACTTGCCTTTGCCAAAAACTAATCGGAACATCTCTTCATCAATAGAAATCGAATGCTTTTTAAACCATTCAAATCGGTTGATCCGTGCGCCCGAAAACGTGGACGAAAAATTGAATCCATACATACATGCACACACATCAATTTTTTCTGAGGTATGCCTCATGAATGTTCAGAAACCTTCGAAACGTGAAGAGATGTAAAGAATTTTAATTTTGATTTTTGGACGATTACAATAAGTTTTACCCGACGGGAAGTCAAAAAAACGTTTTTTAGGTACTAAAAATACACGTGTTGTTGATGAGGGAGGTAGGTAAATTAAAATACCACTACTTATCAAAAATCCTTTAAAATCGCTCACGTAATTATATAAAATTCGCCTCCTAAATTATATAAATAAATTGCATAAATTGCATATGCAATCTCTTGCGACTTAGGTAGCTTAAGTCATACACAGTTTTTGGAGTTTTTAAAATTGGTTTTTGCGCTTGGTATATATAGATATTGGGAAACAAACTAAAAAAAATAATTTGATTTCAATTTTCCGTTAATGTTCTTTGCAGAATATTTGCCGAACAAATTCAGCGACCTTTTGCCGTACGATACAATCCGTACACCCAGAGTGTTGATGTTTTGTACAGTGCTGAAAAAGTCACAAACCTGGTAAGGGAGCTCAAGGGTGATCTTTGTATCGTTTCTTCTGCTCTCAGGAAAATATCTCAACGTGATCACACCGTCAATGTTGATGATATTACAGAAATTCTTCATAAAAGTATTCTGGTAAGTAAACATTTAAAGCATACAGAAATTTTCACATTAATTTTAACATAATTTCAGTCAATGCCAATTAATGATGATTTCCAATATGTCCTGAAAAAATATTGAACGTTTAGATAAATACTACCCAAGACCACCAATCAACTTATTCAAAGGAAATAATAATAACCGTTTCATAATATTTTTTGAAATTAATTATCCAATTACACTATTTTCTATTTTATAATTATTATTGGTATGTTAACTTTTATTGCAGACGGACTTCTATAACACACCTGAAAACAATGAAAATGATATTAGTGAGTAATTCCAAACTATTGCACATGGACTACGGATAATTAATTGGGTACAAATTATATTGCATGAATGTAAGTATAATGAATCTTCATAGTATATAAGAAAATATAACATATAATATATAAGTGAAGCTAAAATGCTTATTTAATATTTATGTTCAAATTTTATCTTGGTAAGGTGATATATTTATTTGAAAATTCTTGCAAAATAATTCACCAAAAATTGACCATTGTTTAAAAATCGTTGTTAATCAAAAAGCGTAAAAGTTATTCATAAAATAATAATACTGATATAAATATAAAATGTTGAAATAACAATTTTATTATATCTAGACGCAAAATAACAGATTATACAATAAAAATTATTTAGCCAGAATATTCACAACAATGACATGTTCATACGTTTTATCCAAGATATACTTTGTGCTATAATTTGTTGCGTTGCGTCTTTATACTTAATATTAAATATAAAGTAAGTTTTAATCCCCAATTTTAATCTTCTTACATAATTGATTAATAACTTATATATAGTAATAGTAATTGCGCTAAAATGTAGAAGTATAACACCAGATCTATCTGTGTTAGTTATCTCTTCTATTAAAAATATGATGAGATGTTTTGGGAACAAAATTAGTATATACTTATTAATATATAATATAATACACCTTGACAATCATGAAATTTGTAAGTGTAAAATAATTGTTATTCTTCTTTAATGAATACTATATTAAGTTTTTTTGCGTCATCAAATTTCAAGTATAAAATTTGGTTTTAAACAAAAAATATATTACAGCAATACAATTTTGACTGGTTTATTATATATAATATGCTTTAAACTATTTTAATTACATTAAATTCATAACTCGTGGTTTTGTGTAATAGGTTTATTTTCAATATCGATATATAAAATCGGCAAGAATCAATTTTTATTATTGGGCAATACCAGTATCCTAAAACCATCGCATTCAGTCCGATTTTTGCATGCAAAGGTAGTCAGTTTGTTTGCACACGTGGTATATTTATTTTTATTTTAATAAGTGATAAGTGGAATTTTTATTTTATAAATCTGTAATTAGGTTTTATAAATTATTATTTATGATCTATAAGTGAACAGAAATTTCAAACATGTAGCTAGTGAAAAGGACATTGGTAGCTACTCGCATTGGAGTGATCCAAGATGTCTTTATGTAGAAGCAGATGGCCATTTTAGGAAGTAAAAGTTTTAAGGTAAAATTATTTTAAATTTTAAATTATTTGGTATGCTAGTACATTCAGGCATCAATGATAACTCGCATTCATGATCAAATTAAATATGTGCATGATTAAAATTCAATATGTGCCAATAAATATTTACCGCGTGGAGGCATTTCCGTTTTTTTTTTATTTATTTGCAAAATTATATACTTTGATTTTATATTAATATTAGATCTGAAATTTCCGATTAGATTTGAAATTTAGACGTAAGTCTAAAATAAAAAAACATTAACTCGACTCATGCAATTTGATTCTATGATTCATATATCGAATTTTGTTACGTAACGTGTATTTACAAAACTACAAAAGAAAGATTTGTTCAGTCAGTAGTGATCCTAGTCAAAATTGTAGTTCTCAATTTGATTGTTAATATTTATTTATATAATTTTTTTTAAATAAATGATAACGATATTTTAGACGTATCTCATATGAATTAAATAATTTATTCCTAAGATTTATTTACATGTGCAAATATGATGGCGAACAAATATTTTAATTTTAATTTAAAGTAATTAATTTTATCAGAAGTATAATATATGTGAATGATTATTTCATAATATTTTACGCTCGATTCCTTCACAATGTCTTTTAGCTATTAACGGTCAAAAATTTAATATTACTAATGATATTTAACATTTGTAAAAATATGATCTCTTATATTTTTATTAATTGCTCACTATAAAATAATTTTGATTCTAAATTATTAATTATTATCGTCTTATTTTTTTAATTTGTTTTAAATATCTTACAAGGTATTTAAATATTATTTAAAAATCCTGCAGCATCAAAAAAAAAAACTTGTCATGACAATACTCTAATAAATCTATATAAACAAATATGAAATTTTTGTCATGCCTAATATTGTTAATCATTACTTGATGTATAAAATAGTTATAAAGTTACGTAAACTAGAAAAGTATTTAAAATTGTTACTTGTTAATGATTTAAATCTATATTTGATTATATTTCTTACATGTATGTATTATAAATATGAATAAAAGATATTGTGATTTAAGTATACGCATCGCACATATGTTTCTAATATTAACACATGGAAATCTTTAATGAAAAATCTTTCATTTACGTATCTTTTGGAAATTATACATACATCTTCGAGATTGTTACAAGTTTGTTGAAAAATAGTATTTTTTTCTTCCAAAGTAATGCATACCCATACTTCTATAACGGTTTATTTTATATAAATCTCAAATATAAATTAACTTTTAGTTAATCGTGCTTTAAGAAAATACGCTAGAATTGATTATTGTCTTAACAACAATTAAAAGTATTTAAATAACATTCAAATAAAAAATAAGATTTGCAACTATACTACCAAAACTATTTGTAAATTTACTTTAATCATATTTTTTTTTATCAAAGTTCATCTAGTTAATTCTAGGACCGACCTATGCACGAATCCAATTGAATTTTTAGACAGATTGGATTCAAAACGTTATTCAACAATAAAAATTTTCAAAAAAATATTTAAATTTATATATAAATTTATTCACAAAATCACAATAAACTATTACAAAATATATCAGCTTAAACACTTAATAACAAATACATATTTTTTAAATGCCTAAATAACTCAAATAGCACACAATATATTGAAATCTACTCATTTGTAGTAGTTTAACCACATGTCACATTAATTTTATAATTATTATACAGTTTTTAATATTGCACATTGATTTTGTTCAACTTGATAATTAACAGAATGAGGTTTTTTAATTAGTAAAAATAGCAAAGTTCCATTCGGTCTAACAAGCTACATAATTTAATTAAATTATGGCAAGAATATATTGTATTCTAAATTTGCATCTTGTTACAAATGCTATATATTAATCTTCGAGTAACATTATATACATTTAAAGGCACTCTTAAAGGTGTGGTATTTATTTTCATTAATGCATAATACTATTTTTAATCCGATGTTTCTAATTGCTTCAAGTATGTATATGAAAGTTAGTGAACATTTTGCGAAATATTTGAATTTGTTATAATTTTTATATCATGTAGATCATTTGCTTGTCTACAAATTTCTAACTAGCAATTTGAAAAAAAATGTTTATTTTATAAAACTGTGCAAAAAAATACAATATCAAATTTCACATACATGGAAGCATTTATACCAAATTATTTACACTGACAATGAGAAAGAGAAATACAAAATTGACAATATTTAGCAAAAACTCTTTTGAAAAATATTGTATTATTCATTTTAAATCTTTCAACAAGTCATTCTCAATTTTTTACTAAAATATAAAATTAAAAACATTTAATATAAAACAAAAGTTTTAAATACATTTATAAAACCTACAAATATTTTGAGCAAATGGATCACTAGCTTCCTTTCAGTTTTATTTATAAAGACCACAATTTTCTGGCTTGTATTCTTCATATTTAGTGATTTATATTTTGTGGTATTAAAATGATCAATGTAACACTATACTAGAATTAACTATATATATATAATATATTTTACTCTAAGTTTAACTTAAATTATATAATACATTTGAAATCATAAGATTTTCATTGGTATAATTTGGTTCAAGTCTAAACATTTTCATAAATAAAAATCACAAATAAATTTACTTACTACAAAATCATAACGATTGGCAGTAAAAAATTTTGATAAAATAAAATATTTTTTGTTAAAATATATAAAATATACTCTGTATTTTCCTCTCTTAAAATTATATGATACCATCCTCTGCCAGATTTGACCAAGAACTCACAAAGTAATGAAAGCACAGTCGATTTGAGTTCGAACATTCAGTAACAAAACAGTATGTTAATGCTGATTCAATACTGAAATAATCTCATTTTTTCGAACTCTAATCATGTAGTTTCTTAGTAATTTTACTCTTACCTTAGATCTGGCATTTTTAGGATCTTAGTCTATATTTGTTAAAATTATTTTATTTGTACAATAACACTTGCTTTAAATCATGGTAGTAGTAGTCCAATATCCTGTGCGTCTAATTTATCAAGTGGGCTCCAGTCTTTTGATGACAAAACAGTTTCATTCTCTGCTATTTTATATCGCCAATCAACCATTGCTTGTATACAATCTTCCTCTATAGATCTTATCTGAGAAAATAAATCATGTGATATGAATTATCATATCAGTGTGAAATTTAAGTTATTTCTTCTGAAAGCTTTCATTTCAGAGAAAATAATTGTATATACATGCATATTTTTTCTATCAATCAATTTTGACTATTGCCAAACATTTAATCAAGCTGAAAATTTTGTTGCACATTGTAAATTTCATTCAGACTTAAGAGGTGCTAGATCTGTTGAAATATTTCAACTGATAATTAAAAATTTATTCTGTTGTTTGGCACCATTTAACATAAATATTTTGAGCTATAACATAAAAAATTATCAATTTTTCTCTCACATACCTCTGGAAAAGTTAAATCCTGTTTCCAATGAAATGGGGCAGCTTTAGAGTTACGGAAAGTTGAGCTGACACCCCCAATATCCATAGTGGTATGAGTTTCAAGAAATTTTGTGACAGACTCTGTTACTGGTAGTCCCAAGAAATTAAATAAGGATTTAACATAATTAACAGGGTCCATTGATAAATCCTCATATCGTAATGATCTGTAAAATAAATAGTGAGATCAAATGATCATTTTAAATACAAAAAAGAACAAATTAATGTATCAATACTTTACCTAAATCTCTCAGGATATTTTCTTTGAAGTTCTTTTGCGTATTTATAATCTGATACCATATCTCTACACAAATTGCTTGGCCTATCGCAATCGGGATTTCCTGGACACCAATCCCTATGTTTTCTTGATTGTATGGTTCCACGAGGATCTCGAATTAATAATATTATTCGAACATTTAACCTACATAATAGAAAATACATTATAAAAAATATTATATATTTATCAATTGTATATTGTAATGTGTAAGATGTTTTCTCAAACTTCAAAATTTGTTGAAAAGTTCCAAATTGTATTTATATGTTTGTCATGTTTGAAAATGGGCCCAGGCCTAATAAGTTTTGCAATCAGTAATTAAATATAACACAGTAAATAAGAGCCTTACGTTGGATCAGACAGCAACTGCTCTGCTAATTTCAACCGCAATCTAACAACTTTCATACTTTGCAAAGGAAATAATTTGCAAAAATCATTCAGGAAACTAGGATCCCAACATACATCCCCTCCCTCACAAGCCTCCCATAGTCTTGTATTATGTGTAAACAACCAGTTATGACCTTTGCCATAGTCCAAATAGTCTTCCATATCATCATAATCACATTTTAACAACTTTTTCAAATTTCGTATAGCGCCTTTTGCATAAGGGGGTCCTCGAATTTGTATGATGTCGTAATTTAATAAAGGTTCATAATGATAAAAATTACCAGGCATTGCATTTAAAATGTCACCGAGAAATGTTGACCCACTTCTCCAAGTAGTTATAATAATACTCCTTATCGGGGTGCCTCCTGTTTCTGGAGTTAAATCTGTCAATTTCTCAGCTATGTTATTGTACATACCATTAGGATAGATGTATTCTTGCATCTCTTCCTTTATTTTTGTTCTTCCATAGTTAACAATGAAAGAATAATTAATTCTATTTTCTTTTGATGTGTCATATTCTTTGGGGTTCGAATATGAAACTGGCGTCAAATGTTGTCCTTTTAGGATGGATTTAGACTGCGATATGAATGGTATATCATTAGTAGAATATTTTCGACTAGCAAATAATAACAATAAACACAAGCAACTTATAACACAACCACTAAATATGTTACGTCTAGTAATTTTGATCATCTTGACATAAAGCTATACTATTTATTTTCGAATTTCATCACAATTTATTTGAATACGCGGCTATAAATAATATTGACGAGTTGTCACATCCATAATGCTTCCTTCCACTATTGCATTCAAGTCGAAGCAAAAATATGAAATGGCAATGCCGCGGAACACTTTATCATTGTATATTATAGATAACATCGAGCGAGTTATTCGTAATCATAATACCACATAACACAATACAACTGTGGAAATATTACAATTCATATTTATTGTTTAATGTTGACATATCAGCGAGTAAATCTTTTTATAACATTAATTTCATAAGCAACCACCACTCTCTCGATAGAATCTGTCACTTTTGATGACATTGTAAACAGTTACACCACCAACATACGAGGAATAACTCAATGTAAGGAAAATCTTTTTGATCAAAATTAGGATCAATTTTTCATTCGGTTTTAGATAACTAAATAAAATGAATTAAAAAAATATTATTTGATATTGAGTTATAAAAAAATCGTGCCTAAAGACAAATTGCTGGAACTTCCCGTACCGTAACGAAATGTTCGAGAAATATTAAATGCTTTCATTAGATTAATATAAATACATACTGTAGCATTGTCTAATATTTATAAGAGTTATATAAACTGAATTACAAAGTTATTATTAAAATTAAAATCTGAATTATTCTTGATATACAAAAGAAAAAAATTGAGAAAAAAAATTTTGAAATATTTTTTTTTTCAAAAAGCAATTATTTTGTCAGCAGAAAGTTTTTTGAATCATTCAGATCAGATGCTTAGTTCTCTCAGAAACTGGTATTTTTTGCACATTTAGCTCAGTATCTCCGAAACGTCTGGACCTGTCTTTGCCAAAATCTAATCATCACTTCTCCCCGTCATTACGGATTGAATATTGCTCAGATAATTCAAATCGGATGCTCTGTTCTCTCAAAAACTCGATTTATATTTTCTGCGCTCTTTGCTCCATATCTCCGTAACGGCTGGACCTGCCTTTGCCAAAAACTAATCAGCTCGTCTTCTCATCAATAGGAATCGAATGTTTTTTGAACCATTCAAATCGGTTGATTCGAGCGCCCGAAATCGTGTACAAAAATTGTATCCATACATACATACATACACACATACATCGATTTTTTTAGGTATGCCAAAATGTTCAGAAACCTTGAAAACGTGAAGATATGCAAAAACTTTCATTTTCGATTTTTGGGCCGTTACTATAACTTACCCTACGGGAAGTTAAATATAAAAAATAAATTACGCGTTATAGAGTCTAATACAAATCATTTTTTTTCTAAATAAATTATTCATCTGAAGTACTAATATTCATAAACGGTTAATAAAAGAATAAAGATAAGGCTGGACAATGTTTAAAATTAGTTCATTTGAAATACTTGAATAAAATACACTAAAACATTTAAATTATGTAAGGCGTATTTATTATAGTTTCATCTCTTGTAGCAATCTAAATTTAAATTCTAGATAAAAATATGTCTGTAAAAATACTGCTGGTATATTAAATAATAATCATTTTCTATATTCTATATTTGTCACAATAGTAATTGTAGTAAACTAACTGAAAGTTCAAATGGTAAAAATGGTATTGGTTTGGATGATAAATATAATATATAAATACGAGATTTGTCTTAAAGGCAAACATTTCCTGGTTTGCAATATAGTATTTATTTAACCAGGAATGGTTTGCCAGGATTGTATTTTTTGTCGCTGTCCTAAAATCCTAAATGTATAATGTGACGCCAGCCTTACCCGGTCTTAAGTTTGTATTGATATACAACTTCTACCAACATACGAAGCGGCATTGATCCCACTTCACTCGCTGCATACTCTGCACCAATACATTCGTCTCACAGAATCAAAGCTTTCGCAAGATAAATTTGACATTTCGTTTGTGCGGGTGTTGTTATTATTAAATATAATTGTTATTACAATAATGAAATAATATTATAAACTGCCAAAGATATATTTAAAAGGTTCTATGAACAATGTTAAGTGTTAGTTGTGAAATATCATGTTCTAATAAAATTGTGCAAATCGGCTATAATGATATTCAGGTAAGATTTAATTTTAGGTTTTGCTAATTTGTTAAAATGTAATACAAAAGTAAGCTAAATGTACAAAATGCTTACATGGTTGAATAGAGTTGCATAAATTGCAATGTTGTTTTGGAAAACAATTGCCATTATGATGATTGTGAAATAAATAAATGGAACTAGATCATTTTTCGATGAATCTAATTATTATTCGCCTATGATTTTCTAAAAATTTTGACAATATTATTTATGGATCAATCTTAGAATTTCACTCTAAATATTTAAAAATTGATAATTAATATTTCCCCACTTCAAAGGGTGATTCTGCATATATTTTGCATCAAATTATTTTATACAATAGTGTATTGTATTTTTTAACTTTATGTACATACTTTTTTGTACATTTTAGAAAATTAAAGTTTGTTATGAAAATCTATGAAATTGAAATTGTTGTCTGTTTTCTTCTTAGTAGAAGAAAAATTGCATTATTCTTTGGTTGAATATCTCATTCACATGTATTTTTTGTGTTATAATAGGTAAATATTCAAATTTAATTATTATTAATTAATTCAACAAGTGCGATTTAAGTTTACTTAACATTTTTATTACAAACCAGGCCATTAAACTTTGTTTATAGAATTAAATTTTTATTATTTTCTAGATCTCTAATGATACATACATAACAAAATCGGTGGTAATTGTTTGTTTGTTACAACAAATTAAAAAACGTTTTTATTAGTAGTTATTTGAATAAAGTAGAATGGGTATTGAATTAATTTGAGACATTTGGAATACGTAAAACCTTCGAAAAGAGAAAAGAGAAAATTTATTACAAAATGAATGGAAGTTTGTTGGCTCGCTCTCAAAACTTACTAGCGTTTGAATTACTTTAATTACTATCTTTTTCTTTGTAATTATTGTTAGAAAATCTGTGCTCTATTTATTTAATTTAAAGGTTATATTTGAAATACTAGTATGTAAATCATGCTTTACATTAAAAAACTTTTCCAACATAGTTTGTGTTGAAATATTATTGTATATTTGGCATAAAATAATAATGTCAGCGTTTTGATAAAATTTGGGTTACAGCGTTGATCTGTGTCAAAACAATAAAAATTTATTGTCGTTGATTTTTGTTGCCAACTTAAAATTAAAGTTTTGTTCTGCTTTGTAAACAATTTTTTTGTATGGAATTTTCTGAAATATTACAAATTAATTATTAACATCTTCTATGGCAATAAGGAGACAAGAGGAGAAAATGCAGGGTAATAAAAGCCAAGGCACATGGCATGGGAGCATAAGTTCAAAAAGTATTTTGTATTGTAGAAAAGAATCTTGTCATATAGAATATTATAATCTGGTAAGAAAAGGGCAAAAGCGCATTCATTATACCCTAAATTGTCTTCTATCGGTATGTCAATAATAATTATCGTATTGTCTCTATAACAATATAAATTATTTATCATTATATAATAAAATAAACAAGTAACGAGATGATGTCTTGTTCCTTCGATGTTATGAATGTTCTCCATGGACTTATTAAGAATCCAATGCGTCTTTTGTGGAGTTTTTGGTACCAGCGTGTGAATGGTATCCATTGTATAGTGTAAACTAATCAGTTCCATCAAGCCTGTCAAAATTTTTCTCAAGTAAACTTTGTGATATGTATATGTATAAATTGTATCATGCTTGTCTGCACTTACTTGGTCGTCGTTTTTTATGATAGAAATATATTTTGTTACATTTTTTTAACTTTCCGTAGGCTAAGTTATAGTAACCGCAACAAAATCGAAAATGAAAATTGTTATATATCTTTACGTTTCGAAGGTTTCTGAACATTTTGGCATACCTTAGAAAAAATGGATTTGTGTGTGTGTATGTGTGTGTGTTCGGATACAAATTTTCGTCGACGATTTCAGGAACACGGATCAACTGATTTGAATAATTTAAAAAACATGCGATTCGCATTAATAAGGAGACGTGCTGATTAGTTTTTGGCGAAGGCAGGTCTAGCCTATCCAAAGATACAGGGCAAGAAGTACCAAAAATGGTAACTCAGTTTTCAAGAGAACGACCGTCCGAGTTTAATAATTCAAAAAACATTTTACTTGTATTGACAAGATGAACTGATTAAAATTTTGGAAAGGCAGGTCTAGCGGTTATGGACTCAATAGAAATAAGTTAAAAAAATTTCATTTGGCGGTCAAAAATGTTTATTGGACATATGTACATCAAATTATCAGATATTTTATATGTATTTTAATAATGTGTATCAACTTTCTTTACATTTCTATGGGTTACGTAAAGTTGATGTTTGTTAAACGGCGACGCTGCGCTTACGCGCTTCTATATTTCGTTTCTATGAATAAATGTTCAAAATTTCCAAAATATTTCGAAATAAAAAATTTTTTTTCCAAAAAATCAATTTTTTTCCTCCAAAAAATCTTTTTTTTTTTTTCAAAAAAATCAATTTCTTCTCCAAAAAATAATTTTTTTTTTCCAAAATTTAAAATTTCTCAAAAATCTATGTTTTTTAAGTTAAAAAAAATTAATCATTTTTAAAAAAATATTTTTGGTACGGGAAGTTCTAGCAATTTGCCTTAAGGCATGATGCCATACACCACTAATTTATAATATATTCAAAATATTCATTATTTTTTGACGGTCGTAGGGTTTATAACATAAAACATGCCAGAGTAGAACGTCATTAGATTTTTCAAGTAATAATTTTGTAGAGATTTTAAGAAGAATTTTGCTGATCGTGAGATAAATTGATGAAAATATGTATCTAACATTAAAACACATTTAATTTTATATAAGGAAAGATGAATATATTTTGCAGTTTTATCTATTTTTTATCTCAGTATTCGCTTTCTGATAATTGTATTTGGTAGGAAATAACATGTTGCATGAAAATAAATTTTCTTTATAATTAAATATTCATGTTTATTCAAAATGGAAAGTTCAATATATTGATTGGTTGTAATTTGTTATGACCAATGCAGTTTCTCAATTCCCATGTTTAAACTTAAACTTAAGCAGTTACATTAATCTTTATAATGATGAAGCATTAAACAAAATAAGCTTTATATGCACTGTAGTTTGTTTTTATACCAATTTTATTAGATTAGGTGTTACTCGTCGTAGCAGTTATGATTTGATTTAATAAAATGTGCCAGAAAATGTACTTGATGAAATACAACATTATTTTAATTTGCTTTATTGGCAAAAATTAATTTCTTTTACAAGAACTGTGATTATTTCCACAACTTTCATTTACAAAAATCTGCTATTTATAATCTCTGAAAAATTCTATTCTATATCTATTATTTAATTTTTATTAATTATGTATTTTAATAATAGATTTATTCGTGATTTAATTTTCTGCTTCGTCTAAGTTCATTTATTTCATTGAAGATATCAATAATGTCGATACTTTTATGTAAAAGACAGCTGCATTGCGTCATATTAAAATAACATAAATATCAAATAGTATTGCTATTTATATAAATGCCTTCTGCGAAGATATAAAAGTGATGGCCTTTTAAATATTCATGATTAAAAGATGATCATTATTCAAAACAGCAATTATATTCAATGCGAATATAATCAACTTATGTGAAGTTGTAGAGATTGATATATGAATTCATAATTTGTGCAAAAAAATCAGAATAATCATCAAAATAATAAGATTTAAATAAAAGTAATGATACAAGTAAAATGGTTACCAACTTTTCTCAAAGATATTAGAAATTCAACACCAAAACACCAAAAACCTTTAACTTGTAATTTTTTACTGAATAGGGGTTTCAATAATTTATACTTATAAACTTTCAATAATTTATACATATAATTTGATTACTCTACTCTACTTGATTACACATTATTTCTCTTGATCACTATAATGGAAGTTCATTTTGCTTTATTAAAATTACAAATATCATCGATATAATTTAATCGCACATAGTATAAAATCGTTTATATTTGCATGGTCAACTTTATTTTATAGAAAAATTAGTAATGGTTAAATTAATGCGTAAAATTACTCAAATATTCAAATTGCTCTGATTGTCAGTCATTCTCTAGAAAATCTACAAAAACGATACTTTTGTGTCTATATCCAATACACTTTTGGAACCATCTAAATATAATCAACTTTTTGGACCATTAATACGAATCATTTTTTTTTTATTTTTTTTATTTATTTATATATTATTTTCATGTCTCAGACAGGGGTATCTGGTATGAGAGAATTTTTTTTGAATCATAAATTTTATATACAAATAAAATTTTGTGCGATTTCTCTTCAACTCACGGGATACTTTTGATTTATTTTGGCCATTATAAGGTTTGTATAAACATGTTATAAGATGACAAGTTAATTTATTTTGAATAATTATTAGAAAATAGCAATGTTGTCATAGAACTAACATATTGGGTACTATTGTTGTTTATTGTAAAATCAAAAAAAAAACTCATAATACTTCAAATAACATTTGATGTATAGCGTGTTTGAAGGTGTATGTAGTTGGAAAAGTAGGTACCCAGGTTGGCGCAATGCAGGGTCTATGCACGCGAAGAAAAGTTTTATGCGACAGATATTTCAACATATTTTTACATAAATCTGTTTAAAAACAGTCAGTTTTAAATCAAGAATCTTAACTGGTGGTTACATATGAACAACCATTTTTTAAGTTATAATCATAGGCTCAGAGCCAGAATCAGAAAATCCGTAATCGATATCTGCATCGGATAGCCTAATGTCAAGAAGTAGCGATATCGGTTTCATTTGAGATAATAGATAACAATATGTTTACAAGTGAAAACAGCTCTTACTCGGCATTGCTACATCAATAAAAAATACATCAGTAATAGTAACTAGATGTTGTAAAATGTATAAATATAAGTTTCATTAACGACTCTTAACTTTTGCAGTTAATTTACTCATGCTATTTTATTTTATAATTGCGTATGACGCTTGTAGTAGAGTCAGAGCTCTACTAAGGCTCTTTCACAGGACG